AGTTACAGAATTCACTGTGCAACTAGAGATTGGAATTACGGTTTTAAATTGTTGTGTTTTTGGGTGCAACAACAGAAAAAGCAGACATTTGACATAGAGAGTTTATAAATATAAGATCTACAGAACTGAAAAAATTCATAATACGGATGGGATTGTTCACAGCACTTCTAGATCTAGCTTCCCACACACATTTTGCATACGCATATGGCCTACGTAATTTTTTAGTAGCAAAACTTGCTACAAGAAATTTTTTTTACACTGAACATGTTTTTTCACTAAATCTAATTAATGTTCTCAAAACATGCGTTCAATAATTAGCTTTAAGTCGCCAGCAGAAGTAGAAAAAAGGACGGACTTGCTTTTAAAAGAGATTTAGCTCCAGCTAGATCTATAAACTTTTAAAAAATCTGTAGAAACCATTGACTGGGATTTAAATAAAAATATTGGGCTAGTATTTATTAAAGAATTTTCTTTCAAGAAATTTCTAGAATAATATAGAACCTATAGATGTGTTGAATTCTGTGGCCCCATCATACAATTACAATGTCACTTCGCATACTGTCACTGCGGAAGTAAAAACTCCAAACACTCGAGAGCACTGCTCATATAGATCTAGTACACACATACTTATCATATTATGAAGGGGTCGAGTGAAAAAACAGGATATCCACGTTTCTTTTTTTTTTTGGGGGGGGGGGTATGAATAAAATGTAGTGAGAAAAATATACTTATCATTATATAATTTGTGTTACTATTTGTTTGTGAGAAAACCTATTGATGAGAGAATCCATTGACCAGGTTTCAGATAACAAATTCTCTGGTTGATGCAGACCAATTAAACTATGGCCTTTGCAGACCTGGTGAAAATTGCTAGCACCAGAACCAGGTGGATTTCCAACTTTTAACTGTTTACAAGCCCCAGCTGTACACACCTTGGTCTGTGCAGCAGTAAACAATACTGACGGCAATAATGTAACTGTCTGCCCAGAACATTCTGCATTTTGTTGTTATTTTCGCTTATCGCCCAGGGGAACTGTTTGGTTTGTGGAGAATTATTATTGATTAATGAGAAAGTTGTCGGTGTAATACTCGCTGAAAGACTTGCACAACGACGACAAATGTTAATCCTGAAAAATGTTGAAACTGCTACAACTGCTAGGTAAAATGCCCCATCCTCGTCCTCCGCTGGCTGACCAGGCTCCACGCCCCTCCCACCCCTCCCTTCCTGTTTACGCTGCCCCACGCAACTGAATGGCCGCTGGTGATTGTCATTAATGACACACACACATCACGTAGGCAAACGGAAGCGCTATTGTCATGTGGCTTTTGTAATTATAATGTCCACCAACGAATCTCACAGGTTGTAATTATTGATATTATGCAAGCCGATCACGGCAGTGGCTCTGGAAAAGTCTAGCGGATACCAGTCGATAGGCCAAGATCTAGCGGCGGAACAAAAATGTTATTGTTATTATTCCTTTATCTATTTTTATGTTTGTGGATTTTTCCTGTAAGTGAAAGTTCACCGGTCACCGCCCGGTCATCATTATTGATCTTCAGATGTAATCTAGATCTAGATTGTTCGTTGCCATAAGTTGCAGATCTAGATATCTTGGTGCAAGCCAAGGTCCCACGGCAGAGCTAGTTAAATTTGGAGTAAAAATTATGTCAAAAACTATGGCGTGCACTGACACTTTAAAGTAGGACGTTGACCCAGCATCATGTGATTTCCAGTAAAGGTGGGCTTGTTGTGGAATGGATTATGAGGGGATTGGCAGGTGTTACATGTTGTTTGATAATGCACAATCCTGTCATGACCAAGTCAGCCCAGGTTAAGTAAGGGCACTTTATTCCACATAGGATAGGCCAACAAATCTCTGCTCTTTTTATACTTAATGTATTTAGTACATATTGCCATTCCTTCAATGACAGCTATTGAGGATATGTGACAATAGCTTGTTGTGTTATACTTTAATATACCCACAGGCCTTGAGGTATATCTATGCTGTTGTAATCTGTGGTTGTCGTTATTCATTCTTTTTTTAGGACGATCCTCTATGGGGTGAGAGCCTGTGAAATGTGATGTCAGCTCTTGTGCGTACTTTTATCAGTGGAGCTGTCACCTGCCGTGATAAAAGATCAGCATAGAAAAGATAACCTCAGCCAGGTCAAGGTCTTCGTGTGAAGAAAACATTTCCAGCAGAGAGAAACAGAGACAGAGATCAGAGAGAGAGCTCAATTCTGACTTGTTTTTGCTGCATTGAGACAACACAAAGATAGAGGATATTAAGCCATGGCTAGATTTTCTTGTAAGCCATGGAGTCTCCTGATCAACTTCATGATCTTCCTGTGTTGCTTGACTGTGAATGTGTCAGCAGATGACCTTGGACATTTTTTAAGGAGTGAGAGTGGAGACAAGATTACATTTTCGAGTGAGAAGGTGTTGTCGTTGTTGAAGCGCTTTGGGAAGAGCGAGGGGGATTACAGTCTTTTCCGTCAACATGAAAGTTGGCAGGAAAATGTCCGTGATTCCTCCAGATTGGGTGGTCATGTATTCCGGAAGAACAAGCTTGATCCAGATGCAAGGAAAAACATGGTAAGATAAAGAATTAAATTATTATACAATACAGGTGTATATATATATGAAGGTGGATAAAAAAGCAAAAGAAGTTGTGAAGTATAGGGTGTCTGAAAAAAAAGAGAACCCACTTAAAATTAAAGGGTAATAATTGTCTGTCATTTCTACACTAATAAAAAAAACCCTGAACAAATAAAATTCCATTATGACGATGACAAGTTTGTAAATATGAAGAAAATTATTCGGCGTGTTAGAGAAATATCTAGTTTTTAAAATTTCAACCAAAATTGGGTAAAGCGTGAAATTTTACTTATATAAGCGTTCAGCTACAGGGACGTGATCGGCCTGTTCTGGTTTCAGGACAATGACAGCAAAACCACAACAGTTACTTCAGATAGAAGACGGGCTGGACAAGTTTTGTAGAAGTTTGGGGAGAATGTATTCTGTACAGGCGTGGTTCCTTTGGGATTGGGCCACAACCCACACACCAAGAGTGGCCCTAATTTAGTTACAAGAAAGGTTTGAGGAACGCATTAAGAGCCGAAAATTTACTAATGAATGGTTACCACATTCCCCCCCAACTTGAGCCCCTTCAGTTATTACTTTTGGGGATTTTTGACAGAGTGTATGGAAACAACTCGCAAACAATCGAACAGTTAAAACTCATTGTTGAACAGGACGTCCAAAGAATCGACCCAAAGACATGCCCTAGGGCTTTTCAAAATTTCCAGTGCTTGTTGGAGCATGTAAAGAAATGGTCTACACCTAGAGATTTTAATACCTAGCACCTTGCTGGAGTAGTTTATTTAGCAATCAATTTTGCGTTAATTATTAATTTGTTCTTCAATGCACAAATAGTGAACATTTGAAACAGGACAATATGGTAGATTTTATAAGAAGTTGCACAGTTTTGCATTTCAGTCAGTTTTAGTTGAAACTTTTAAAATTTGATATTTTTTAAACATATAAGTCAATTTATTTTCATATTGTCATACCTAATGTACCCATGGTTGAATTTTTATTTCTCAGAAGTTTGTTAAAATTCGTTCAAAGATAACCGAGTTATTGCCATTTAAGTGGGTCCTCTTTTTTTTAGACACCCGGTATCTAAAAAACTGTCAATGCTAGAGACTGAAATTTTCAGTCCATTGAAATGATTTTGTAGACTTTGTGTTCAGGGTTTCAGCTCCACAGCCACTTCTGGAAAGCACAGCAGTAATCAGCTTCCTGTATGCTTCACAGCTCTGAATTTACAGCTCTTGTTTCGTCCTGTGTATGCATTCTAACTTCCGTAGAGCAAACTTATCTTTTGGAGTAGGAAATGACCAGGTGTCTCAGGAAACTAAGTTGGTTGATGCAAAACTTAGATACCTTTCTCTTGTATGCATAAACTTGCGGCCTTTGATTTGTGGGGAGCTGCATTGTCACTGAGGAGCATTGTGCAAGAGAATCCAATCAATAGTTTCTGTTCATCAATGGCATTTTTACTAGGGCAGTGCCCTTTATACACAGTATAAGGAGTCCTTGTAGTATTTTCTGAGATGATACCAACCCCAACCACAAGAGGACCACTGTAACTGATTGAAGAAGGCAGTAAAAAGTCTCTTTGTGTTTTGAAATTTTCAGCTCTCAACATGTAATTAGGTCGTTTTGATGGAACTACAAAAAAAGGCAATCCTATAATTCGTTGAGTATAAGTTTTCTCCCCGTTTGACAACAAGTCAAAACTATGTGACAGTTTTTTATACCCATAATTTTTTATGTAAAAAATAAATATGCCTCGAAAGTTGCTCCAAGTTTCTGTGTTCCATTGCAGACGGAGCTGATCTTGAGTCAAGGCTACATTAGTGAAAAGTACACAGTGCAGACAGAAGATGGTTTCCTGTTGGACGTTCACCGCATCCCGTCAGGTCGGGGAGAAATACCTATCAGTAGTGATGGTAGCGGCCGCTCAAAGCCAGTGGTGTTCCTGCAGCATGGATTGTTGTCTTCATCGTGCGACTGGGTGATGAACTTTGCCAACGGAAGTCTTGGTGTGTATCGGGACAGGAGTTATTGTATCCTGCTATATATTTTCACTGTGATCCAATCTGATTTATAATTGTTTTTAGCCTACAGATGGAATTTTGTCCTCTTGATTACTTAAGAGAAGTCAAATTATAATTGGAAGCAGATTTTGTGCTGCTCTCTTCAGGCTCTTCAGAGTTTGAATTTGGTTCCCAATTTTGCAGATAGGATTTTGTATCGTTAAAAAAACGATTTTGTCTCATTGTGCTCAGTTGCTGGTGGTTGACGGGTGTTCTGGTGTGGTTTGCTCCTCCTTTCCTATCAAACATCTATCATACTGATCTCTCCTGCGTTTCTTTTGTGTTTGTTACTCTCTTGTAATACCTCTAATCTTCATCACCTCTATGACCTTATTGCATTTCAAGTGCTGTAAAACTCAAACTAAACGGACAGAAAAAATTGCGCTCTCTTTACTCAGTTGCAACTTGGTAGTTAGATGGCAATGAGCAGGGACAGAAATATGTGAATGAGTACTAGATTGTAAAATTATGTAAGTCTACTGTTGGAAGGGATGCAAAGCCTTATACTGGCTTGTTAACTTCAACTGCTTTATATTTGATAAGATTCTGTCTTTTTTCTTGCAGTTGCAGGTAATCTTGGCATTGATAATTTACCACATTGCATGCTCCTTAAGATTTCCCCTTGTGTCCCAGCTGATAACAAACTGGACCAAAATGGGGAATTTTTCTCTTTCTTTTCGCAAAATTCATCTCCGCTTTTATGCGCTATTTGTGTGCAGGTTTCATCCTGGCAGATGCGGGATACGACGTGTGGATGGGCAACTCTCGAGGGAATACGTTGTCCCGGAAACATGTGAAGTTGAGGCCCGGTAATCCTAAGTTCTGGGACTGGAGGTAACTTTTAGCTTTTTCTTTTATTCACATTTGTCAGTGAGACAACGGGGGCTCTCTTGGCCTAGAGGTTAAAGGTGTTGGCCTCTCGTTTAAAAGTCCTGGGTTCGAATCCGGGTGGAGATCAAAAAAATTTTCTTCTCCAAAATCGTCTCCTTTCAACTCTTTTCCTTCTCTCTAACTATGTTCTGTCATCTGCTTTCGCCTCCTCTTTCTGCCCCCACCCCCTCACCTCTTGCCCCCTTCTCTGGGCTCCTGACTCTTTCTGCAGCCTTGCTACTGCTACTCCTTGGCTCCTTCTTACTGTTGGTGTTCAGCCACACCCCTGATCTTCTGGTAGGAAAGATCTACACCTAGCCTCCTCGGACAAGGGCGAAAAATCTCGGAGGGCCTGTTTGTAAGTTGCGCACGTTAAAGTTCCCTCGATGGTCTAAAATCGATAAGAGTAGGCTTCAGCCGCCAGGAGGGCAAAATTCAAAATTTCCTACCAACTGAAAATGTAAGATGTATCGTGCGCGCTCATATGACCTTGTGCAGTTGCTAGCGCGGTAAAACACTTAAAAAAAAAAAATGAGACAACTAGAACATGTGGATGCAATGTTTTTAAAAAATTGCCTTTCAATATTAAATTGTCACTTGGGCTATTTTTCTGATTTCAATTCTTATTCATGCTTACTTGTTATTAATGCATATTTTGTTTATCAAAATATCTTAATGCTCTCAGTGAAGAGACTATAGATGATTTGAATATGGCAGTGTTCGAGAGATTGTTCTGAAAATAATGTTGCTTTCGTCTCTCCAAAATATTCTTCTTCTAGACCCTATTAATACTCAAGAGTGGTTCTCTGTTCCTCTTTTTGAGTTTTTGGAATTTGAAAACTTAGGTTTCACTAAAGTTGCTTTTTGTCTTAAGTTCTTTGTTTCCACTTCCACAGCTTTGACGAAATGGCCAAGTACGACCTTACAGCTTTCATTGACTTTGTCCTGAACAAAACAAACCAGAGTTCTCTGTCCTACGTCGGGCACTCACAGGGCACCACCATGGCTTTTGCTCTCTTCTCTCAGAGACCAGACATGCAGAAAAAGGTGAGGCGCTAATGATACCATCAGATGTCTAAGAAATTTAGAGAGACTTTTGTATGGATTAGCTCCTTTTATAGTATAGAGTGCGCTCATATGACCTTAGCAGTTGCGGGCGCCGTAAAACCCTATACTACTACATACATAGTATAGAGTTACCTGCCTGTGTCATCATTGTTTCATATTCTAACAGACAGTATTGGACATTTTTCCTATTTGCTTTTGATGGAGTTTTGAGAGGCTTGGAGTTGTAGGACTCGTATGTATCTGTAAACTTACTGCGGTTAAACTTATTACTCATAAGTTTGAAGTCTTGATAAATGTTGATTAATTTACTGACAGGTGTGCTTTATGTTTCACTAGCAAATGTACCTTATGTTCCGCCAACAATTGCTTCTTTATGTTCCACAGGTGAACATTTTTGTGACCCTGGCACCTGTCACACTGATCTCAAACACCGTATCTCTGGTCCAGTACCTGGCAGAAATACCTGATGAGGTAAGCGTCAAAGGATTATCAGTCGACGCATAGCTCTTTTGTCGTTTTTGTGAGCAGACACAGATGTGTTAATTCTTTTCTTGTCGCTCCTTTTATTATCATGAATGACATTTGTGTAGCTAATACCAACAGGTTTTAGAGCATCACTAATACATTTCTCTTGAAGGTCACAAACAAAGCCATAAGAAGGTTTAACCCCCCAAGTATTTCTAATAAATAGCCTGTGGCTTCAGGGGAAATTAAATGATTTCTCCATATGTGTCACGTTACAGTGGAATGAGGTGCTTGTCAATTTTTGGGCCCGTGGAGTTATTGGTTTAATCTTAAATCTTGCTTTTGGTGAAAAAATGCCCATTTGTCTTGAATAGAAGTAGAGATTTTTGGGATTGAAAGAGACGGGGGGTCACCTGGTGTAGGGGTATAATTAGTAAGAAATTGACTGCCAAAATTTGGTGACTTCCAAAGCTTGAGTGTCCCTTGAAACTGTAAATTTAGATTTGTTGTGCCCTTGATCGTTTTAAAGTAAAATCCACACAGAAATATTTTCGAAAATTGGAAGGTAACTAGGAAATATGTATATCTCATGCTATCTTTCAATGTTATCATCACACTGCGGTTTCCTTTCCTCTCATATATTTATTAGTCATATTATCTTCAGCCTTCAGTCCATGACTCTGTGTTTGACAGAACTGATTACTGATATTTGACAAGAGAAGAAGAAAGATCTCATTGAACTTCAATGGATGAAAGAAACGGATCTGATAGGGATTGTTTATCAATATTCTACAGCAAAAATTCTCCAGCAAAACAGAGTAGGTTTTATTGTTGACTGTGACTGCAGTAGTGACAAAAGAAAGATGTGACAATTTTGTGTTTGTGGGTGTGTTTGGGTGGGGAACACTATCACACAAGGATATTTGGCCTGAGTTAATAAACAATAATAAATAGCATTTGTATAGCGCATATCCCCACTCAACAGCAGGCTCTATGCGCTTTACACTATATGAGTTATGGGACTTATGGGAATACTTTACTTTGCTTTTACTTTTATCCACCGCTTATACCCTTTTGGGTGTCGTGGGAAGAAAGAGATGTCTCTCTGCCACCAGCCGTAGAGCTTGGCTCAGGGGGATGCTGTGAGTTGTTAATGTTTCCCTGACTCCATCTATCCAGGTCTTTCTCGATCGCCCAGTGCTGGGTGGTGTGTTGGTAATCACATGAGATGTCTGAACCTTTTGATTCTTTGTTGTTGGATGTGATGCATGACATCATTTGTGCCCACCATTTCTCTGATTACTGTGTTTCTAATTTTGTCTCGCCTGGTCTTGTTTACTTCTTTTCTAAGGCATCGCATTTTACATGTTGTAATTCTTTGACTTATGGGAATAACATCAGCAAACTTACCCAGTTTTAAGCAAGTAGAGGTTGTTATTTGATCCATATGCCACACTGATATGTTGTTGATTAAATTGAGATTGGAATGTTGTACATTCCTCTTTTTGTTAAAGAAATAGAACCTTGGCTGTTCAAAGTTTGATGATAAGATTTTGTGCCCTCAACACAATGTCTCTGTACTTGTGATTTGAACTTTACTGAAAGTCATCTAGTGAAAATATTGCAAAATGTTGTTTTTTACTCAGAAGGGTCTGATTTAAAAAAGTGCTCTTACTAAGTATCTGATCTGATTTATGCAACTTGAAAATGTTTTTTTTGTACCCGCTTGTTCAATTACTCAAAGATGGTGGTTGGTGAGTGCTCTGGTGTGGTTTGCTCCTTCTTTTCTATCAAACATCTATCATCCTGATCTGGCGTCCTTCTTTTTTGTGTTTGTTACTAGCTTGTAACACCTCTAATCTTTGGCACTTATATGATCTTATTGTGTTGCAAGTGCCGTAAAACTCTTACGAAAAAAAGAAAACACAACACAGTGTCTCTGTATTTGTGATCTGAACTTTACTGAAAGTCATCTGGTGCAAAATGTTGTTTTTTACTCTCAAGGGTCTGTTTTAAAAAAGTGCTCTTACAAAGTATCTGATTTATGCAATTTGAAAATGTTTTTTTGTACCCGCATGTTCAGTTACTTAAAATTTTTGTCTGTTTCTCTCCCCCTCCCTACTCCCTGCCCCTTCCCTGTAGATTCTGTTCGCCATGTTAGGGAGGAGAGATTTTTTACCCAGTGACTTACTGGTGCGGACGCTGGTGGATCTGTTGTGTCATGACGAGGCCACACGATGGGTCTGCTACAACATCCTGTTCATCCTGGCCGGGCCCGACCTCACCAATCTCAATCAGGTAGGATAGTTATTTTTAGAAAACATTCTACCCATCTTTGGCTTTAACTTTTGGCATTAATAACACAAGCTCTTTAAACAATTGACAGCAAGTTCAGTGCATTCGCAGAAAACAATTTTGGAGAAATCATCATCATCATCATTGCCTTACTCACCCTGGATCAGGATATAGGCCACGAACAAACACTTTCCACCTTTCCATGTCCTGGGCTAGTCGCTTGATGCCACTCCATGTCTTCCTACTTTTCTGTACATCCATCTCCGTGACTCTTCTCTTGGAGAAAACATAGCTCAGGAGATTAGAAGACGAGTAGGAGCGAAAGTTCTTCATACTGAGGCCTCTAGCTTTTTCTTCTTTTTCAACATGCAATGGGGTTGTCTTTTTTATCTTGTTTTGTGAAAAGTAATATTTTCTGTGGTATGTTTGTTCCTGTATGTTTCAGCATATTCCTATCTTGTCTTTAAAGTAATATTGCTGGTCAAGGTTTCTCATAAATAGATGTTCAAGGTTTCTCATAAATAAATGTTCAAGGTTTCTCATAAATAGATGTTCAGTCTCCACTACCCAAAGTAGTCATGTGGGTGGTTGGCGGGTGCTCTAGTGTGGATTGGTCCTTCTTTCCTACCAAACATCTATCGTCCTGATCTGTCCTAATTTTTTTTGGGGTAATACCTTGTGACATCTCTGATCTTGGGCACTTATGTGACATATGACCTAATTGTGTTAACCCCCCGGGACGGTGCCACTGACTGAAGTGTCTTTAGGCCATTCCCAAAGGGGGGACATTTCTCGTTTTAGTGCACAGTAAAATTGTAAATGGGCTGATCTAACTATGTCATGCTCATAACTGTGCTTGAACTACAACAGGGAACTGCTGCTTTTTGTTTCCTCATCCCTACTATTGTCATTTTCCTCTACTTTTTTTGTATGTTTGTCACACTCTCGTGACCCGCTATTTCCGGGGTGCCTTGATAGTCGTTTGTGCTGCTGAAGCTAGAGAGGTGAGCAGAGTAAGTCTGATTCCCTGTAAGGACTTCTCTGTTGACATCCACCCCTTGGCGCCCATATCACCTTGTGCAGTTGTGAGTGCCGTAAAACCTCTACTTAAATAACAAACATAATTGTGTTACAAGTGCCGTTTAAACACATACTTAAACAAACAAACTGACAGAGCTGTATCTCATACACAGACGAGACTGGAGGTGTACATGAACCACTCACCGGCTGGGGCCTCGGTCAAGGACATTGTTCACTTTGCACAGGTGAGCTTGGCACGCGTTGTTGGGGAACACGTTTGAGGTCATTGTGCTTGCACTGGGTTTTTGGGGAACACATGTGTGGGCTTTTTGTTGACACGCGTTGTTGGGGAACATGTTTGAGGGTTTTGTGTTGTTTGGGAATGGTTTTGTGTCCTGGAGTGGTGGAATCAGGTGCTCGTCAATTTTTGGGTATGTGGGGTTATTGGTATCATCATAAAGTCTGTTCATTTGCCTTCCTTTTGGTGAAAAAAATATCCCTGTATCTTAAATAGAAGTTGAAATATTTGCGATTGAAGGAGGTCAGGGTCACTTGGTTTCAGAAGTACACTTACTGAGAATTTGGCTGCCAAAATTTGGTAACTTCCATAGCCTGAGAGTCCTGGAAAATTAAAATTTTAATTTTTTGTGCCTTTAATCAATGTTTTTCAGTAAAATCCACACAAAAATGTGTTTTTAAATGGACACAAAAGGTGTTCGACCAAAAAAAGAAAATTCGAAAAAAAAAAGGTGCCCATCAGCTGAAATAATGCCGATTTGTTTGATTTCATTATTTTGACGAGCACCTGATTTGACCAGGATGCCTCACATTTGTTTGTGTGTGCCTTGGTTGTTGATGAACACATTTGTGGGCATTGTGTAGTTTGGGAATGGGTTTGTTTGTGTGTGCTGCGTTGTTGATGAATGCACTTGTCTCTCTGTGTTGCGTTGTTGCTGTATTTGTAAATTGTTATATGTGTGCATTTTGTTGCTAGTGAGTGCTGTGTATATTGCTGGTGGTGAGTGTTTTTTTCCTGTGCATGTTCTGCTTTTGTTGGTAGGTGTCTGAGTTGTTTGAGCAATTTCTCTTTTTAGTGAGTCTTTATCTATTTTTTATGGATGGCTTCATGTGTTTGTGTCTC